AGGTTAGTTGAGGTAATTGAGGTAATGTGTACATATAGGTAGGGGTAAAGTGACTATGCATATATAATAGATAATATACAGAGAGTAGCAGCAGCTACTCCGGGTAGCCATTTGCAGATAGTCCGGGTAGCCAAATTATTAGCTGTTCAGCAGTCTTATGGCTTGGGGGTAGAAGCTGTTCAGAAGCCTTTTGGACCAAGGCTTGGTGCTCCGGTACCGCTTGCCGTGCGGTAGCAGAGAGAACAGTCTATGACTAGGGTGGCTACAGTCTTTGGCAATTTTTAGGACCTTCCTCTGACACCTCCTGGATGGCAGGAAGCTTGGCCCCAGTGATGTACTGGGCCGTACGCACTACCCGTACGCACTAGCGCCTTGCGGTCGGAGGCCGAGCAGTTGCCATACCAGGCAGTGATGCAACCAGTCAGGATGCTTGAAACATGTACAGTGGGGAAGAAAAGTATTTAGTCAGCCACCAATTGTGCAAGTTCTCCCACTTAAAAAGATGGGAGAGGCCTGTAATTTTCATCATAGGTACACGTCAACTACGACAGACAAATTGAGAAGAAAAAATCCAGAAAATCACATTGTAGGATTTTTAATGAATTTATTTGCAAATTATGGTGGAAAATAAGTATTTGGTCACCTACAAACAAGCAAGATTTCTGGCTCTCACAGACCTGTAACTTCTTCTTTAAGAGGCTCCTCTGTCCTCCACTCGTTACCTGTATTAATGGCACCTGTTTGAACTTGTTATCAGTATAAAAGACACCTGTCCACAACCTCAAACAGTCACACTCCAAACTCCACTATGGCCAAGACCAAAGAGCTGTCAAAGGACACCAGAAACAAAATTGTAGACCTGCACCAGGCTGGGAAGACTGAATCTGCAATAGATAAGCAGCTTGGTTTGAAGAAATCAACTGTGGGAGCAATTATTAGGAAATGGAAGACATACAAGACCACTGATAATCTCCCTCGATCTGGGGCTCCACGCAAGATCTCACCCCGTGGGGTCAAAATGATCACAAGAACGGTGAGCAAAAATCCCAGAACCACACGGGGGGACCTAGTGAATGACCTGCAGAGAGCTGGGACCAAAGTAACAAAGCCTACCATCAGTAACACACTACGCCGCCAGGGACTCCAATCCTGCAGTGCCAGAAGTGTCCCCCTGCTTAAGCCAGTACATGTCCAGGCCCGTCTGAAGTTTGCTAGAGTGCATTTGGATGATCCAGAAGAGGATTGGGAGAATGTCATATGGTCAGATGAAACCAAAATATAACTTTTTTGGTAAAAACTCAACTTGTCGTGTTTGGAGGACAAAGAATGCTGAGTTGCATCCAAAGAACACCATACCTACTGTGAAGCATGGGGGTGGAAACATCATGCTTTGGGGCTGTTTTTCTGCAAAGGGACCAGGACGACTGATCCGTGTAAAGGAAAGAATGAATGGGGCCATGTATCGTGAGATTTTGAGTGAAAACCTCCTTCCATCAGCAAGGGCATTGAAGATGAAACGTGGCTGGGTCTTTCAGCATGACAATGATCCCAAACACACCGCCCGGGCAACGAAGGAGTGGCTTCGTAAGAAGCATTTCAAGGTCCTGGAGTGGCCTAGCCAGTCTCCCGATCTCAACCCCATAGAAAATCTTTGGAGGGAGTTGAAAGTCTGTGTTGCCCAGTGACAGCCCCAAAACATCACTGCTCTAGAGGAGATCTGCATGGAGGAATGGGCCAAAATACCAGCAACAGTGTGTGAAAACCTTGTGAAGACTTACAGAAAATGTTTGACCTGTGTCATTGCCAACAAAGGGTATATAACAAAGTATTGAGAAACTTTTGTTATTGACCAAATACTTAACGAAATAAATTCATTAAAAATCCTACAATGTGATTTTCATAGTTGACGTGTACCTATGATGCAAATTACAGGCCTCTCTCATCTTTTTAAGTGGGAGAACTTGCACAATTGGTGGCTGACTAAATACTTTTTTCCCCCACTGTAGGTATTACAGACTTGGCCAGGGACAGGTTGAAAATGTCAGTGAAGACACTTGCCAGTTGGTCAGCGTATGCTCGGAGTACACGTCCTGGTAATCCATTTGGCCCTTCGGCCTTGTGAATGTTGACCTGTTTAAAGGTCTTACTCACATCGGCTACGGCGAGCGTGATCACACAGTCGTCCGGAACAGCTGGCGCTCTCATGCATGCTTCAGTGTTGCTTGCCTCGAAGCGCGAATTGAAGACATTTAGCTCATCTGGTAGGCTTGTGTCACTGGGCAGCTCGCGGCTGGGCTTCCCTTTGTAGTCCAAAATAGTTTGCAAGCCCTGCCACATCCAACGAGCGTCGGAGCTGGTGTAGTAGGATTCAATCTTTGTCCTGTATTTACGCTTTGCCTGTTTGATGTTCGTCTGAGGGCAAAGCAGGATTTCTTATAAGCGTCTGGGTTACAGTCCCGCTCCTTGAAAGTGGCAGCTCTAACCTTTAGCTCAGTGTCGCTGTTGCCTGTAATCCATGGCTTCTGGTTGGGTATGCACGTACGGTCACTGTTGGGACAACGTCATCGATGCACTGATGAAGCCGGTGACTGATGTGGTATTCTCCTCAATGCCATAGGATGAGTCCCAGAACATATTCCAGTCTGTGCAAGCAAAACAATCCTGTAGCTTAGCATCTGCATCATCTGACCACTTCCATATTGAGTGAGTCAATGGTACTTCCTGTTTTAGTTTTTACTTGTAAGCAGGAATCAGGAGGATAGAATTATGGTCAGATTTGCCAAATAGAGGGCGAGGGAGAGCTTTGTACATGACTCTGTGTGTGGAGTAAAGTTGGTCTAGAGTTTTTTTTCCTCTTGTTGCACATGTACCATGCTGGTAGATATGAGGTAAAACAGATTTAAGTTTCCGTGCATTGAAGTCCCTGGCCACTAGGAGCGCCGCCTCTGGATGAGCATTTTCTTGTTTGCTTATGGCTTTATACAGCTCGTTGAGTGCGGTCTTAGTGGCAGCATCGGTTTGTGGTGGTAAATAGACAGCTATGAAAAATACAGATGAAAACTCTCTTGGTAAATAGTGTGGTCTACAGCTTATCATGAGATACTCTACCTCAGGCGAGCAAAACCTCGAGACTTCCTTACTATTTGATTTCAGGCACCAGCTGTTATTGACAAATAGACACAGGCCACCACCCCTTGTCTTACTGGAGGCAGCTGTTCTGTCTTGCCAATGCATGGAAAAACCAACCAACTGTATATATAGTTGTCAGTCCCCACCCCCCCCATATCTCTATCTACCCACCCACCCGCCACCCCACTGCTTATCCCCTAAGCCCCTCCCCCATCCCTCTACCCCTCTAAACATCCAAGGTTGTTTAAGTAGTAATCGTCTCTGATTGATTGAGAGATTCAAGGAGCTATCATTGTTAAGTAAAATGGAAGATGCAACGCATTGAATATTTACATTCATGCACTTCAACATTAATTTTGTAACTTTGTCCCAGAAGCATTTAACTGCAGGGCACTCCCACATCATATGAAGGAATGTGCCTACCTGATTTAAGGGACACAGTGAACAGTTGGGAGTTGGGGCCATTTTCATCATAAAACTTTTCCTTGTGTTTTAAATACAGTCTGTGAACAAACATAAAATAAATTGATGGTTCAGATTACGGGATGCCAAGGTCTTATTTTTCCATATTCTGTTCCAGTTAAAGGGTTGTTCAGATTTACTTAGATCTGTGGACCATAGTTTTTTAATGGCCAACTCAGAATATGAATTGTTTATATATTATAGAGATCAGTCCTTTCGGTAGACCAGATAATGAATTTATAAATCACTGGATGGTTAGGTAGTTGGGTTTCCCAAGGGACTCCATAGGCCAGCATAGCTGTCCTAAGTTGTAAATATAGAAAAAATTAGTTGCCTGGTAATGTCTTTCAAATCCTGGAATGTTCTCAAACCATTACTATCCATGATATCAGCAAAGGTATGGATTCCACATTTGGACCATTGAGGGAATGCAAAATGCTGCCCTTAACACAACTCAGGATATGACCCAGATGAAGTCACAGGAGACGGAAGGTTCAACATACAGAGTAGTTTATTAAAACCACAGGAGGCAGGCAAAGGGCAGGTCGAGGACAGGCAGAGGTTCGTAAACATTAAGCATGGTGGTGGTAGTGTGACGGTTTGTAGATGCTTTGCTGCCTCAGGACCTGGATGACTTGCCTTAATAGAAGGAACCAAGAATTCTGCTCTGTATCAGAGAATTATACAGGAGAATGTCTGTGAGTTGAAGCTGAAGCGCAGCTGGATCATGCAGCAAGACAATGATCCTATACCCACAATCAAATCTACATGAAAATATCTAAAAAGCAACACATTTGAAGTTTTGGAATGGCCTAGTCAAAGTCTAGACCTCATCCCAATTGAGATGTCGTGGCAGGACTTGAAAGAAGCAGTTCATGCTTGAAAACCCATAATTGTCACCGAGTTAAAGCAGTTCCACATGCAAGAGTGGGCCAAACTTCCTCCACAGTGATGTGAGAGACTGATCAATAACTACAGGAAGCATTTGGTTGCAGTCATTGCAGCTAAAGTTGGCACAACCAGTTATTGAGTGTAAGGGGGCAATTACTTTTTCACACAGGGGAATTGGGTGTTGCATATCTTTGTTAATTAAATAAATAAAATAAGTATATATTTTTTTGTTATTTGTAAACTCAGGTTCCATTTAGCTGATATTAGGTTTTGGTTGAAGATCTGATAACATTCAGTATTAAATATATAAACATTTAGAAAATCAGAAAGGGGGCAAAAACTTTTTCAAGGCTCTGTATGTCTCAAGTCGGGACCCTCCAGTGGCTATTGGGAATCATGAAAGCTGGGATACAGGGCATAGTTTTCTGTGGACCATATGAGAGAGAGCGCAGGAAGAGGGAGGTCTTAAAATAGTCTCTGAGTTACAGCTCAGGCAGGCAGACACACTGTGAGCTCCAGACCTTTCGGAGGGGAGTAGAACCACATCAGTCCATGCTGGGGAAACCTGGGCTCCATCCACGCCAGAGGACTGTCAGCTTCTCTTTTAATGCATGTCTTGTCTCCAGAGGTTTACTAGAGGGATTGAGCAGGGCTAGACGAGAAGAGACACATCATCTATCTTCTCCAATGCTTCTGACAGAGGAGTCTGGTCTTCTCCATGTTCATAGGTGAGCCAGATGACCCTCCTCGTGCCAACCCACATTCAGTGCAAAACCAAGGTAAGAGACACAGTTACTTCTGCATGACTTTGTTCCATGTTACTATGCTCTTGTGAAGGAAATCTGTTGACAAAACTGCCTTTGACGTTACTGTATTCTCTTTGATTCATCTACAGTTGCTGCATTCCCCCTGTGGTATGACTGATTTGATATTAGAATAGAACAAATTATATGACTTATGTCCCTCATTTGTAAATGTGAATGTTGTTTTTTTTGTAGTAGTAGTTTGGCTTTTCAGACTTTACACTTTCAGGTTTGAAATGAACATATGTAACTACTACAGTACATTATAGTCAGATGATGTGAAGTTAACTGTCCATACCGTTTTTGAACTTTTTTGGGTAATCTTTATGAAAGCTAATTGGTGGTTATATTAGATTATTTAAAATGTATGATAATCATTAATAATGTTATTGACCTAAGCCAGAGGTCAACAATTGAGTGTTCAGAGAATGTTCCAAAACATGTTTATTTTCAGTAGTTTTCTAACATTAGCAATTTAGGTTTATTTTTAATGTAGATAACAAATAGAACAACTAGAAAATGAAATGGATGTTATATGTCGTAGAGCTCCGCCCTCTACTCATATAACTGGAGTTACAATTCCCAGTAACTATCGTCCCCTCTGCTTGACTCATTATATTAATCTGGACTTCTGTTTATAATAACTCATATTCTAATGTAGTGGATTTGTGGCATCAACAATAATTGTTACAAACTAAATAGAAATATCATTAATACCTGAAAGTGTTTGAATGAGGAGAGAGGAGATACAGAAAAAATATATACAAAATAAAATTGGACCCAGGTTTTTGTTTCCCCATTGTTTGAGATGTGCCTTCAGTTGAGGGGAATTCTGTGTCTCATTCAAGCACTGCAAAGGGAAGGAATCACTGCTGCTATCTTGCTTTCCAAACCAAGGTGCATGTATTGAGGAGCAAACTGAAGGAGAGAAGAGATTCAGCAACACTTGGAGGACAATGGAAATTAAAAATTAATTAAAAAAAAAAAAAAAAAAAAAAAAAAAAAAAAATTATAGAACAAACGTGTTTTGGATTTTGGCCTTCATCAGGTTTTTTTTTATCAAGGCCAGGAGATGGGAAGATGCAGAAACAAAGAGAAAATGATCTGTGGGGATTCTAATGGGATTCTAAGAACAGTGCAGTAAATTATAAGTGCTACTCAAGAATCCAATGTGCAACAAACCACAAAATATGGTTTCAATACTAAAGATACATAGCGACAAAGTCCATTGAGAAATAGGAAATATTATGTTTTATATATTCTATAGAACTCTATAGTCTAAATATAGTCTATATAAAATAAATATATCACCACATTTTGTACACCTTTATTTTTCTGTTCATGAAGCTGATACGTTTCACCATTGGTTTCAGATCTTCATCAGAGCAAAAATAAACCATGGTATCCTTCCCTTTCAGGTAAAGTGTCTGTGTGTGATGGTGTTCTTGAGTCTCCCCTTGACCATGGGAGACCCTGGTCCGTGCAGACACTCCATCACCAGAGATCACCTGCTGACCATACGACGCCTGGTGAGTAGTACAGCTATACTGAACAATGGGAACTAAATGATAAAATATTTGTTTTAAAACATGAAAAAATGTAAGTTGTATAAAACTCTTATAATATGAAGACAATATATACATAACCAAGAGTGATTTATGAAATACATGTTTAATCACAGTGGCTCACTGTGGAGAGCAGGGCTGTGCACAGACCTTTGGAGGGGCAGGTGCTCAAAGTGAAAAAAACACCACCAAGCTGAAAGGGCACTTTTCTCATAGGAGGGCAAAAGGGCAGGTACTCAGGAACTCTTAGACCTCTATTTGTGCACGTGCCTGGTGGCGAGCATATTAAAGTGATGGGCAAATAAAAATGTTCACAGTTACACTAGAACCATTAGACATTGATGATTGGGGTCATTGAATGTCCAGCAAATTTCTCTCATGAACACAAGATATGAGAAGTTAATATCTATGTTGTTAATTTAATGACTCCTGACATGTATTTTGGTTTCTGCATTTATTTCTGTTTTACATAGATAGATAACCAGTTGCAGAGTGGATGCTCAATAACCTACACATTTATTGAGCAGAGAAGTTTGGTAAGGTAATTTTTATGCATAAAATGCATGTGCAGTTAAAACTTGGGAGATCACAGGCAAATTCACAAAGAACATTAGGTTATGCTTTTAGTTCACCATTTCTTTTGTTGATTTTGGTACTATTTTTGAAATTATTTTTTACAAATGATGTGTTCTTTTTTTAGGAGAGTGACAGAAAGTATCCACTGTACACCACATTATTTATTTCAGCTAAAAAAAAGGACTGTAAAAATAAGCATAACCTATTATCATTATGGCTAACCAAGAACAAGTCACTGACATACTTTGTATCATAACTGTCATGAATTTGGACTGTTCTTCTTCTATTCTCTGGCAGAATAAATGTTGCTATGTGAAAGCTGCCCTGCCCTGGATCTTGGAACTCCTAACTGGACACTTCAGATACACCCGGGGATCAGACAACCACAGCTACGTGTTGTCGCTGACCGGTCTCATCCACAACATTTACTCCCAGAGATGTGTACCACAGATCAATGAGGAGCTGGAGGTGAGGGAGGTTTGATGCTCAAGAGCTCGCTCATTAATAAATAACAGCATTAGTTGGGTGTTTTAAAGAGGATTCAAGGAGCTCAATACTAAGCTCATAAAACTCTTGAATAATTGTATTGATAGGACATGCATCCCATGTGAATTTTACCAATATTATTTTCTGACCCTATTGACTAGGATGACCCAGTGAGCTTTGGGATGTCATTCAGCAGTTCCCCATCCGAGGCCCTGGGAAGGGTACAGGATGTCATGTCTGTGTACTGGGAGCTGGTGACCACCATGGACTCACCAGTAGACTGGAGCTGTGAGAGGGAGTACACAGACACCGCAGAGCCCCCCACAGCCCTCTCTACAGCACTCTCTCTGACTACAGGTGGGCAACTTCCTCAAGGTTCGGAGAGGTTCCCTGGTGAAGGCATAAAACAGGGAATTACATTATTACCGAATATAATAATACAGTGTGGCAATTTAGCAAAGTAGCTTACAAAATCAGACCCACTATCATCTGGTGTTGCATGTATCAACTTGCTGAGCTATCTGATTATCTTAACCTCACTTGTCCATATTATAACCTGGCTGTTTAGACCTGTCTCGTTGTCCACAGTCAGCACCTTTTGGGACTCAGAGAAAGCCCCTCAGACTGGTCTAGATGGAGACCAAGATGGAGACCTGTACAAGTTTGGTTTCATGGTCATAGCTCCATCAGTCTGTGGAGGATTGCTGTTCATATTCACTCTATATTGCCTCATCACACACAAGGTAATAATGCACACTAAAAAGGTTTGAGTTACTAAACAGCACTAAAGACCCCCAATGCCTTTAAATTCAGTATCACCAGTAAAAATTAAGAAAAAGGGGAAACATTTTTAAAAAATGCTATTTACATGTTTGTTTGTTTGTGTGATTTTGTTCCACCACAGATGTCCTACAATACTGATCATCACACATCACTAGTGTACCAAAACTCAAGGTAAAGTATCACACAGTATCTAGAATAATCTAACCAACGCAACATGATGACAACCCAAAAATATATGTAGGTTCTAATTCAAAGTTGTACTTATAGTTTGCAAACAGATATTCAGGACATAGAGATGCAGGTGCAATAAAGTGAGTATTATTTTCAGTCTATTTATCATATGTCAGTCTCTCCATGTATTTGCTGTAGCTACATATTCTGAATACTCCTCCTTTCTGCACAAAGGCCATAAAAGACAGATTGCTGCAGATGGAGGAGCATATCCAAAGGGGAGGATATACCATCAAGCTCTCATCTCTAATACACAATGAACAATGGTGGTTTATATATTATATATTTGTTTGATATAACATCCTATGGACATTTCCAGCCTTTTTCTGGCCTACAGGCACTATCAATGGATTTGAATGGACCTTATCTTTTTGAGAATGCTATTCAAAGAGGGGATATTTTTATAATCTATGTTGTATATTGTGTGTGTGTATATATATATATATATATATATATATATATATATATATATATATATATATATATATATATATATAATGTAGGTATACATGTATATTTATAACTTGACTTAAAATCAATATTTTCTTATAATGTTTATGGTGATTGATCTGGTGAATAATGTGCCTTTGCCCACTGTATAAAACAATCATTGTTTTGTTGTTTCAAATCGACTGTTAAAAAAGTTTCATTAGAATATACATGATTTCACATTAACTTCACATAAGATCACATATATTTTTGGAACCCTTCACGTGTCCACATGAAAACGTGTTTTTGGAACACTTCACATGTCCACATGAAAACATGTGTTTTTGGAACACGTCACGTGTCCATGTGAAATTCATGTGGTTTTTCCATTAGGGCTAATAGGGTTTGAATTGTAGTTTGTACCATTGATTGCTTCCAGTTCTTTGATTGTGGGGGGATGTTATCCAGAATGTTGCAAACTTGCTTCAAAACAGACAATCAACAAGCTCATTAAAACTTGAAAAGCCATTTCATAGCCAGTAAATTATTTTTCTCTCACCACTTCGTTACATATTTCATAATCTTTAAGTCTACTTGTAGGCCTACCTACTAATACAGCTGTTTACTACACCCTGGGCCTAGAAAGCTTCTTCTGTTGTTACTATATAGCAGGGTTCTTCAATTCCGGTCCTGGAGGGCCGAAACACCTCTGTTTTTCATCCTCTCCTTCTAATCAGGGGCAAATTCAGACCTGGGACACCAGGTGAGTGCAATTAACTACCAGGTAGAAATAAAAAACAGAAGTGTTTCGGCCCTCCAGGACCGGAATTGAAGAACCCTGCTATATAGTTATCCTAGAAGAAATACTGAGTTATTAAAAGAGAGCTCGGATCAGCATTAGGTCTCAAATAAAAGATGCATCAGATATCACAAGCTCTGCCATTCCCTCTGGCCACACCAGAAGCAGACACACCCACCCACCCACCCATCCACACACACACACACACACACACACACACACACACACACACACACTATACTGAAACCAACCTTGCATTTTTCATACACAGGCTAGGAGTGGTGTTGGTCTACTGGCACTAGTTTTAATTCTCCATAACCTGCCCCTTAAGTGTTTTTCACACACTTATCATACAAAAATTATGTTCTGTACAGTCGTGGTCAAAGGTTTTAAGAATGACACAAGTATTGGTCTGCACAAAGTTCGCTGCTTCAGTGTTATAAGATATTTTTGTCAGATGTTACTATGGTATACTGAAGTATAATTACAAGCATTCCATAAGTGTCAAAGGCTTTTATTGACAATTACATAAAGTCTTTGCAAAGAGTCAATATTTGCAGTGTTGACCCTTCTTTTTCAAGACCTCTGCAATCCGCCCTGGCATGCTGTCAATTAACTTCTGGGCCACATCCTGACTGATGGCAGCCCATTCTTGCATAATCAATGCTTGGAGTTTGTCAGAATTTGTGGGTTTTTGTTTGTCCACCCGCCTCTTGAGGATTGACCACAAGTTCTCAATGGGATTAAGGTCTGGGGAGTTTCCTGGCCATGGACCCCAAATGTCGATGTTTTGTTCCCCGAGCCACTTAGTTATCACTTTTGCCTTATGGCAAGGTGCTCCATCATGCTGGAAAAGGCATTGTTCGTCACCAAACTGTTCTTGGATGGTTGGGAGAAGTTGCTCTCGGAGGATGTGTTGGTACCATTCTTTATTCATGGCTGTGTTCTTAGACAAATTGTGAGTGAGCCCACTCCCTTGGCTGAGAAGCAACCCCACACATGAATGGTCTCAGGATTCTTTACTGTTGGCATGACCCAAACAATCGGAAAGGGGATTCATCAGAGAAAATGACTTTACCCCAGTCCTCAGCAGTCCAATCCCTGTACCTTTTGCAGAATATCAGTCTGTCCCTGGCTTCTTGCTGCCCTTCTTGACACCAGGCCATCCTCCAAAAGTCTTCGCCTCACTGTGCATGCAGATGCACTCGCACCTGCCTGCTGCCATTCCTGAGCAAGCTCTGTACTGGTGGTGCCCCGATCCCGCAGCTGAATCAACTTTAGGAGACGGTCCTGGCGCTTGCTGGACTTTCTTGGGCGCCCTGAAGCCTTCTTCACAACAATTGAACCTCTCTCCTTGAAGTTCTTGATGATCCGAAAAATGGTTGATTTAGGTGAAATCTTACTAGCAGCAAGCCCTTTTTGTGCAAAGCAATGATGACGGCACGTGTTTCCTTGCAGGTAACCATGGTGAACAGAGGAAGAACAATGATTTCAAGCACCACCCTCCTTTTAGAGCTTCCAGTCTGTTATTCTAACTCAATCAGCATGACAGAGTGATCTCCAGCCTTGTCCTCGTCAACACTCTCACCTGTGTTAACGAGAGAATCACTGACATGATGTCAGCTGGTCCTTTTGTGGCAGGGCTGAAATGAAGTGGAAATGTTTTTTGGGGATTAAGTTCATTTTCATGGTAAATAGTGACTTTGCAATAAATTGCAATTCATCTGATCACTCTTCATGACATTCTGGAGTATATGCAAATTGCCATCATCAAAACTGAGGAAGCAGACTTTGTGAAAATTGGTATTTGTGTCATTCTCAAAACTTTTGACCACGACTGTACTATGTGGTATATAATATATATATATAATATGCCATTTAGCAGATGCTTTTATCCAAAGCGACTTACAGTCATGCGTGCATACATATTTTTGTGTATGGGTGGTCCCGGCGATCGAACCCACTACCTTGGCGTTACAAGCGCCGTGCTCTACCAGCTGAGCTACAGAGGACCACGGTACAAGTGTATAACATATCCTCAGTGTCGATCAGGGTTGGGCTCAATTCAGAATTTTGGAATTGACTCCCATTCAACTCATGAGTTGAAATTTGAATTTAATTGGCCACACCCCACAGGATGTAGAATTTGAATTTGAGTTTGAGTGACAGAAAGTACAATTACATTCAGTGCAATTCAAATAAATTCCACTCAGTCATAGAACATGAGAGTTTAATTGAATCTGACAGATCACACTTCCAGATACCAAAGAATATATCACTTTTCTCTGGAAACCTCCCGAGTGGCGCAGTGGTCTAAGGCACTGCATCGCAGTGCTAGCTGTGCCACTAGAGATCCTGGTTTGAATCCAGGCTCTGTCGTAGCCGGCCGTGACCGGGAGACCCATGGGGCGGCGCACAAGTCGTCCAGGGTAGGGGAGGGAATGGCCGGCAGGGATGTAGCTCAGTTGGTAGAGCATGGCGTTTGCAACGCCAGGGTTGTGGGTTTGTTTCCCACGGGGGGCCAGTGTGAAAATAAATAAAATAAAATGTTAAACTATGTATGCACTCACTAACTGTAAGTCGCTCTGGATAAGAGCGTCTACTAAAATGTAAATGAAACAATGTTTATATACTCTTTTAACCTTAGTGCTTAGAATAGCTAATTATATTCCAAACAACCATTTCGTTTGGCTTATTTTTGAAGGCATCAACTTGAGGGTTAAACTAATGCATTCTGGGAAATTAAATATGTTTTGTTTTCCTTGATCATTCATGTTTGTCCTGAAAAACAATATTTGATATGCTCGTATATAACGACATGTTTGATCTTTTATGTACAAAATGTACAGTATATTTGTATAGATTACACCTAATATAGAATAGATTCTATTTCCTTTCATTCAAATTGCAATTCTGTATCCTGTTTAGTACTTCACTTCAAATTCAATTCAAATTCAAGAATTTAATTGGAATTTATGAAACATTCTCAATTCAATTCTGAATTGAGCCTAACCCTGGTGTGGATGCCATGGTATGAGTTGCATGATGTGTCAATAATCTCTCCATTCCTGTTCCGTTAAGAGAAGAGGAAAAGCATTCCCATGATTCGATGGAGCTGCTGTCTGTTAGGGATTAAAGGCAGCTGTTAAAGATGAAAAGAGAAGTCTTTGACAGATGTCCCAATATGATTTAGTTCAAATATGTGAAAATTGGCCCCAGAATAAGAGAATTACTGTCTTGAGGGCCGCCCAGCCTGGAGTGAGCGCTTTAAGGTGGAACAGGATGGAGAAGGCAGAGGAGGAACATGGGGCTGGTTTTGATGAGCTAGTAGATAAAAAAAAAAAAAACAAGACAGGCAATTAAGTTGTGTTTTTTATTTCTATATGAATCTACTAAACACAGTTTAATTGCATTACACTGGTTGGTCGGGCTTTAAAATGTGTGTAATTATTTAGATACTTTCAGATCCAAACATTGTCTTTGTCAGTTTCTGATTATCCATCATTACATATTTAGTACTGAGACATATCACATTCACATATCTATTGAATCCATTATTATCACTAACTGTGCACAAGTAATGGATACAATGTACTTACTTGTCTAATACCACTTTGTTCCACACGAGGGAAGCTAAACACTGAAAGGGCTGATCCTTGCTAAACATGACTGCAAAAAAACTCTGAGCATAAATTTCTCATTGACACCAACACATGATTTACCAGAACAGAAAGTTATGCACATATTTCTCAAGTTAGGATTCGGCCCTGACAGTAGCACAAAGGGCTGGCCAAGTCAAAGGCAGTTACTTCCAATAAAGTAGTACTAAAATGTTGCGTGCGTTCCTCTGCCCAGGCGTTGCTAATGCATGCCAGATCTTACAACGCCTGGATAGGTATGTCAGTTAACCACATCATATGTTATAGCAATCTGTCAGTCGACGACATAGCACGCATGCAACGTCTGAGCAGGGGAACGCAAATGTTATCTGTGCACCTTGAGAGCAGCTTAGAGAGAATTACTGTATTGTGTGTGTAGCAAAGCACAAAAGTATTGTTTATGACAGCTTTAGTGGTAGCCAACAAGACAGCAAAATAGGAAATAGGGTAGGTAACATATAATAAAGTCTGACTACTGTCCAATGTTACCTTGATACGAAAAAAAAAACATTTTAATACCAATTTACCCCCATACATAAT